TGAAAAGGAAAAAGCAAGTAGCACAAAGCAAAACCAGGCAGAGCTGTTCCACTCCTATTTTGGTAGTCTTCTCCAGCAAGAAATGACACGTTTCATGAGGAAAGGTGAAGAGCAGGCTGAAAAGGCAGGACGAGAGCGTAAGACTGAGAGAAACTTGGTCAGAAAATGCTTATTTTCTTTGAATGTTCAACATGCAGGGCCAAATGGATTGTAACCTAGGGCAGTATGGGAACTAGTTAACAATCTGACTGTACCTTTATTATACTGGAGAAATCCTAGACAACCGGCAAAGTGCCAGATGACTAGAGATGAGCAACTGTTGTCCCTGTCTTCAAAAAGAAGAGAAAGGAAGATCTGGGGAACTACACCCCAGTCATTCTAACGAAGTTATCCTAAGATGAAGTCAAAATGTAAGCACCTTGAAAATAATACAGGTCTTAACAGATTAATTTTTTTATTTTTTGAAACCGATAACCTTCTTTAGTAGATTGTGGGAATGCTACAGATGCAACAAACCTTGATTTCAGCAAGGCATTTGACAAACTATTCCATAGAAGCTGATTAGCAAGACAAATAAGCATTGACTGAATGGCATGATAATCAAGTAAATACATAAATGACTTTAGGATTGTATTAATCAAGGATTCCCTATTAAACTGGAAATGCATAAATCAGAGCATTGAAAGGAAATTCGGTCCTGAATTCTCTACACCTCAATATTCTTATTAATAACTTCAGTGAAGAGGTGAAGAGAATGCTTATGAAACATGCAGAGGATGTGAAATTGGGTGGGATGGCTAATACCTTAAAAAAAGAAAATTCTAAAAGATCTGGTAGGTAGAAAAACAGGCTGACAGTAACAGAAACAAATGCACAAGTACGACATGGAGGATACCCAGCTTGGTTAACAGTACTTGCAGAAAAGATTACAAACCCAGTGCAGTGTGATATAATTGCAAAAAAAGCAAATGTAATACAGGCTACAGCAACAAAAGTATAGCTTTCAAATTACAGGATGCAGTAGTTCTGCATTATTTTGCAATTATCAGACCCCACTTCAAGTACCATGTCCAGTTCTAGTTACCACACATTAAAAAGGATTCAGCAAAATTGGAACAAGTTAGGGAAGGGCAGCAAGAGTGATCAGGAAATTAGAAATTAAAAGCTATGAAGAGAAATTGAAGTTGACAAGTATAAGTACAAGAGAACGTTGCGTAGAAAGGCAAGACCTGTTCTCAATCATTCCAAAATGTGGTATATGGAATAATGGTTTTAAGTTACAGGAAGGCATATTGCAAGTGAATATTGAGGAAGAGCTTCTTAACAGTAAGAGCAGTTCAGCTGTGAAACAAATTACTTGGAGAAGATAGTAGGCTTCCCTTTTCCAGATGTGCTCAAGCTGAACTGGAATGCTTTAATTTGGATTCATGCACTGTATAAGCAGTTGGACTGGATGGGCTACGTGGTCCCTTGTAAGTCTATTATTCTAGGATTCTATGCTGGGAATTCTGGGAGTTACATAGTGAATCCAAGTGGGAAACCTGGCTGACCATTCTAGAAAAAGTTGGCTAAAAGGAGGAAAGGCTGTGAGAGTAAATCCTCCAGAGATGCAACAAGCCCCCTCATCTGGTTTTGGGGGTTTGGTTATGGTTCTGGGGTGGGGTGGGGGTTGTTTAACTTCCATGTGTGGTGTGGTTTCACCTCTCTTTGGGAATGCATTGGTGTGCCCCCAGGCCTGTCCAGCCGCAGCATAACTGTCCAGTGTTGTAGAACCTGTTCAGCAGCGTTACCTGCTTTACTTGACTGTAACCAGGGTGGTAGCTAGTGTGGCTACAACTTTTTCCCCATACCTGTTTAATGGCATTTTTCAAATTTTTGTTCTCACACCTCCCTTTGCTTTTTCTGGTGCCCTCTGGGTTCTGCTGGCCAGCTGGGGTACCTGATGGTTCCATAGAATTTGTTGAAGGTTCCACAACATGTTTGATGGACCATGGCATAGGAAACCTCGAATAAAGCTAAACTAAGGTCTAGTTGGTATCATTCGTCTTAGTTCAATTATATCTATCATTCTTCTGTGCGCTCAAGCAGCATATATTTTCCCCACAACAAGCCTCTGAGGCAGGTTGTGATATGCAGTAGAGACTGGCCCAAAGTCAGCCAGGGAATTTCCATGGCTGAGGAGGGACTTCAACTTGAGTCTCTCTGGTCCTAGTCCAACAGCATTATTGCCGCAGCACGCTGTCTGAATACACAGCTAAAAGAACAGGTTTTTCCCCCCCACTTTTGCTCCTATTTCCCTCTTCTTCTGTTGTTTTTCTTGCCTTCTTTATTTATTGTTACCTGTCACAATCAAATGACTCTCAACAGTTACACTATTATCCAAAACGTGAAAACATCATAAAAGCAATAAAATAAAAGTAAACCTTGGAAAAAATGCATATAACAAAATACATTAAAAAAAAACTACAGGAATAATCCCCAAAATTAAAACCAATAGATAGCAATTCAATGATGCTTTTCTAAATAACTTTGAACAGTTCATGTGTTTAAAAAGTGGGGTCTGATCATATCTCTAGGGAACAGTATTCCATAAAGCACGTGCAGCAACAGAAACGCAGGGAGTCCCTTTTCCGTCATGAGATTGGGGAACCACTAAAAAGTTCTTCCAAGATACTGGGTGAGCCAAGATTGGTGGAAGAAGATGGTCCTCAAAGCCTAAAGCATGTTGGGCTTTAAAACTGCAAAACTGCATTAAAGAATTATGAGGAATATCTGGTTGGACGAGGCCAACATCTATCTTTCCTATCATCCTCAGTAAAAATCTCAACAACTACAATTCATTTTCCCTTGCTGCTTTGCGGAACACTTTTCCAGGGATGTCATTGCTTAACTATGCTGAAATTAGTCCCCTGTTCACGTGTCTTTATATAAATGTTATAAATGGATTCAGTGAATAAACAACAGGAACATGCAAACAATACTTTCAGACCCAAAGAGTGCAAATGCAACACCCATCAGCAACTCTTTAAAGCAGCCATGTCTTCCTGGGATTGCCCAGAAACTTAGAAGAGTTACAGAAAGGTACTGTGTTTGCACTTCCACATTCTCCAAGTTATCTTTTCTGAACTCTTTCCAAAGTACTGCAAAATTCTGCAGCAGAAACCAAAGATTTCCTGCACAAATGGGCCAGGGATTATATTAGTTTATCTCTAATCATGCCCCTAAAATTAAAGATGCAGCTACCCCATATGAGATATCTCTGCTTCCTGTAAGATAAATAATAATGTTCTTTAATCAAAATATTTTGGGTAAAGAAAAATAATGTGCAAAAATTACAGTTCACATAATGTAGAGATAATTATTCTCCAGTGGAATAGCAGCCTGATTCTGGTAACACAGTAATATACAACACGGTCCTGTGATTAATTCAGATTAAGAGTTATATAAATTTAAAATCCATATTTGGCTCATTCACTGAGGTTTGATTCAAATGATTGCCAAATTAAAAGCAATCTAAACCCTTCAAATACATTCTGTTGGCCATTGTAGGAAAGGGAGTGGTGAACTAGATGGGCCTATGGCTTCATCCAGCAGGTTTCTACTGTACGGTAGTCCTCGCTTACCAACTGATTTGTTTAGCGGCCATTTGAAGTTTCAATGGTATAAAATAATAGCTTTGCAACCAATCCTCACATTTATGACCATCGCAGCATCTCACGATCATGTGATCGCCATTTGTGTGCTTTACAACTGGCTTGCAACAAGCAGAGTTAATAGAGAAGACAGAAGTAAAATTGTAAGTCACAGTCATGTGATGTTTCACTTAACGACCAGGGTGATTTGTTTAATGACTGAAGAGGAAGCAACATCGTAAGCCTGTCATGGTCACATGATTTTCCACTTAGCGACCGTGGCGCTTAGCAACAGAGTTGCTGGTCCCAGTTATGGTTACTAAGTGAGGACTACCTGTACTTATTTTCACATCGTTGAACCAAACACATCCAACAAATTTTATGAATGAGTGGAGATTTGAACCTGGATCTCCCTGGTCCTAATCCCATAGTCTAATTACTACACCATACTTGATATTACTGATATTTTCTGCCTTAGCAATTTTTCTTTCTGCCTTTCAGTCCCATGTCTCCTCACTTCCCACCCCTACGATGCCCACTTAAATTGTCCAGTTAGTTGCTGTTTTCTGTTCTGTTGGGAAAGAACAAGACAAACTTGTTTGCTATCAGGGGTCAAGATCCTTACACTAGAAGGGAGGAATGTGGAAAGTTGGTATAGGGTGGAACAGGGGTAGCTGCTGAAGACAAAGTGATAAGGCGTTGGCCAGGATAGTAGAAAAGGGTGTTTTTCCTTACTGACCCTATCTTCATTTGCACCTTGGACTCTGAGCAGCATTCTTTTGTCAGCTTGGAACATCTTCCATTGTGGCAAGAAGAAAGTTCTTGAGAAGAACAACCAACTTCCATAAGGATGGCTGCTTCCCTTCTACTTCTGTTCCTGATTGCTAGCAAGACCATGGCTTTAGGTGATTATTATTTTACAAACTCATAAAATCATATAGTTGGAAGGGGTTATTTAGACCACTGAGTTCAATCCTCAACTCAGTGCTGTTTGGTACCCTTTGATGAGAGGAAAGATCCTGTCCCATCTCAGTGGACTGATGATACTTTTCCCAACCTGGCATTTTCCAAGTGTGTTTGAGTACAACTCGCACCATTAGTTGTGTTATTGGAAATGATGAGAGTTGTCCTCTCACATATCTGTAGGATGACTTGGGGAAGATTGCCCAAGATCATACCCTTTGTCTCTGCCCCATCCCTCACTCCTTCTCCTTTCTCTCCCAATCACTGGTGTCCTTTCTTTAATTAAGAGTATCATCTACCATTTTGAATTAAACTTTCCAGGATAAAGATCCTCTCTTTTTTGCTCTGGGCATTAGCAGACATTTAGATGTAAATGTTTGGTATTAGTCTTCTTTCTATGATGAGATATTTAAAAAATGGAAAAATCTTCCTGGGCTAAGTAACTGAGTACCGTAAAAGCAAAAACTGTGTGGCTGTATTCGCCTAATGTGCTGAATCTGCTTCCTGAATGAACCTATTTTCTGGGTTTGCAAATACATCAAGCCATAAATGAAACAAACAGGCGAGGCTTGGACTATACTCACCTATCTTAGCATGTTGAACCCATGCATCTGTTAGGTTTTACCTTGCCCTGGTTAAGTGGGTTGTGTACAGCCAACAGGTACAACTGTTAATAGTATAAAACGAATTTGGGGAACTGTGAGGAAGGTATGCGTTGCTTTCCCTTCCAGTGGCATTTCACTTCCCTGTCAGCATACAGGGATGGTTGGCTTATTCCTCTAAGATTCTGGAAATTGTTCTAAACAAGAAGGGAGGGAGGGAAAGAGCGAGGGGTGGGTATTCAAGTGGAGATTCAAGACATGCAGTCAGCCCGGGAGATGCTATAGGGTTAAACAGCCCTTAGTCATGTTCAGAATTGAGCTAATAGATGGATAACGGTCATGTGGGCCGAATGTGATTCCAAATAAAGAAGAATTTCCCTCTAGGTTTTTAGCTTTTAGGAGAAAAAAAATAGCTTTAATTTTTAATTGGGTTGTGCAGCTTGGCTCCTTTGCTTTTAAAGCTTTGCTCCCAAGGAAATAAGGTTTTGAGTGGGGGTGGGAATTAAAGAGGGAAGCACGCCTTCCTTAAATCTAGAAAAATCCATGTTTGCAATATATACATAATAGTCTCCTCTCATAGGATGCTCCCTCACAGCCTTTCTGATTGACAAGCTATAGGAACACTATTGCTGAAAGGAAAGGGACGGAGTGTCCTGAAAAATTGCTTTTCTACTGAATGGGCACAAAGAGGGTGTATGGGGGTGGCCCGGGGTGGCTCTCTGGGCCAAGAATGTTGACCACCATTTATATTAGGGAGCACATTTACACACCCATAGTTTATATTAGGAACCATATTTACATACCCACACCCCCTTGATCCATTTACACACCCATAACCGCCTTGCAGAAGACTATGAAAACCAGAGAGAACCTGTCTTTCTCACCCTTTGAAGCTCATATGCAGAAGCCAAGCAGGCAGACAGTCAAGTCTTAGTCCAGTGCCAAGGGACACACCCTCCATTGAACTAGCTCCAGAAGCACAGAGCAGGCCACGGGATACATCATCAGATCCCTCACCATCTCCACTTGCCCTCCTACCTCTGCTCTAGGGGAAGTTATTACTACACTCTCTTTAATGGTAGAACAGGCCCCAAACAAAAGACAGACCTCTTCCGTTATTGTGTAGTGTGGGGAAGGAAAGGGCATGTCCTTCCCTCTCCGAAAGCAGTGAGCAATATTTGGAGAAAATTGTACAGGCTGCAGTGTCCACTCCTGGTCTAGAGAGCTGAGAAAAATAAAACCGTGAGAAATGTTCTGACCTTTGCTTACATTTGATTAGATGCTTCACCCATTCTTGCACTCCTGCGTTACCACCTGATGCTGACAGCTACTTAAACTGCTCAATGTATTTTCAGAGTTGATCCCCTATACACCTCGGATCTCAGAGCTGAACATGGAAGGAAAAGTCACTGTTAGCACTTTTGCCTTGGAGCCACCAAAGTGTGTCTTTGACCCATTTGTCAACGTCTCTGACAACATCTGGTTGGTAATCACTTTCATTAATGGTGAGTGAATAGCCAAAATCCTAGTGCATTTTATGTTATAAATTTACTGTATTCATTCAATTTCTATCTTTCAGCCCTGAGGTAGACCCGATCAAGAACCAACTCCCTAGGAAAACTAGAACTAAACTATATTGAGATAAGCTATAGCCCAGTGTTTCTCAACCTTGGCCACTTGAAGATGGGTGGACTTCAGCTCCCAGAATTCCCCAGTCAGCATGCTGGCTGGGG